CCTGGTCTACAGAGCTAATTCCAGAACAACCAGGGCTACACAAAGAAATCCTGTCTCAAAAAAAACAAAAAAGGAAAGAAAAAAAAAAGCTGCATTGTGAATTAGCTATCCTTTGAAATCTTTTTTTTTTTTTGCTTTTTGTTTTTTGTTGTTGTTGTTGTTTTGTTTGTTTGTTTGTTTGTTTTTTGAGACAGGGTTTCTTTGTGTAGCTTTGCGCCTTTTTCCTGGAAGTCACTCTGTAGCCCAGGCTGGCCTCGAACTCACAGAGATCTACCTGCCTCTGCCTCCCAAGTGCTGGGATTAAAGGCGTGCGCCACCACCGCCCGGTTTCCTTTGAAATCTTAAGCTTTATGTCTGTGTGATATGTTTTAGTATTAAAATTGGGTCTCTAGCTTTCTCATCTAATTTGTTTAATATGTCTCTATCTCATTTTTATTTTTTATTTTTATTCTAACCCTAGATGGGTGTGTTAGTAATTGTTCTACTGCTGTGAAAAGACACCATGACCAAGACAACTCTTATGAAAGAAAGCACTTAATTGGGGGCTGGCTTACAGTTTCAGAGGTTAGTTCATTATCATCACACAGAGAGCATGGCAGCACAAATGGAACTGGAGCAGTTGCTACATCCTGCTCAGCAAGCTGAGAGAAAGAGACAACACAGGGCCTGGCTTCTCAAGTCCATCCCCAGTGACACACTTCCTCCAACAAGGCCACACCTCCTAATCCTTCTAATCCTTTCAAACAGTGCCACTTCCTGCTGACTAATCATTCTTATGGGGGCCATTCTTATTCAGACCACCACAGATCCTAATTCTGTCTATGGACTCATCTTGGCACCTTTAAAGACATGTTTGACTAAAACCCAAAACTAACAAAAGCCTTCCCTCCATCATCTTGTCTTATACTTTCATTTTCTGTTTCCTAGTTAGTTTAAGTTACTAAGCATGTTTTTATCCCTCTCTAGAAAATGAGACCAGAGCCGGGCAGTGGTGGCACACGCCTTTAAATCCCAGCACTCGGGAGGCAGAGCCAGGAGGATCACTGTGAGTTTGAGGCCAGCCTGGTTCTACAGAGCAAGATCCAGGACAGGCACCAAAACTACACAGAGAAACCCTGTCTCAAAAAATCAAAATAATAATAATAATAATAATAATAAGAAGAAGAAGAAGAAGAAGAAGAAGAAGAAGAAGAAGAAGAAAAAGAAGAAGAAAGAAAGAAAGAAAGAAAGAAAGAAAGAAAGAAAGAAAGAAAGAAAGAAAGAAAATGAAACCAGTATAATCATCTTTAAATGTGTATATCATTATCTTTAACCTCTGGATAGCATTTTAAAACTATAGACATAAAATGGTATGTCTTCTTCCTCCTCACTTCTGAGGCAAGGGATTTTCATGCATTTATTATTATTTCCACCAACTCTTTACTGATTTATTTTTTAATCCAAATTATTGCTTTAAAACCCCTAGCTAAACTAACAAGAAGAGAAAAAGACCCACATTAACAAAATTAGAAATAAAAAAAAGGGAAGTTATCATAGAGTCCAATTAAATGCACAGAATCATTAGGAGGTACTTCAAAATTTTGTACTTAAAACAAATTAGATGAAATTGACAAAGTCCTAGACACTTACAGCCTATGAAAATTTAATCAAGAGACCCAGGGGTGGTGGTGGTGCATGCCTTTAATCCCAGAACTTGGAAGGTAAAGACAGGTGGATCTCTGTGTTCAAGGCCAGCCTGGTCTGCTGTGGGATGGTCTGTATGTCAAATGCGTTGCTGATTGGTCAATAAATAAATCACTGATTGGCCCGTGGCCAGGCAGGAAGTATAGGCGGGACAAGGAGGAGAATAGAGCTGGGAAGTGGAAGGCTGAGTCAGAGAGACACTGCCAGCCGCCAGGATGACAAACAGCATGTAAAGATGCCGGTAAGCCATGAGCCATGTGGCAAGGTATAGATTAATGGAAATGGATTAATTTAAGCTGTAAGAACAGTTAGCAAGAAGCCTGCCACGGCCATACAGTTTGTAACCAATATAAGTCTCTGTGTTTACTTGGTCGGGTTTGAGCGGCTGTGGGACTGGCAGGTGAGAGAGATTTGTCCTGACTGTGGGCCAGGCAGGAAAACTCTAGCTACACTGGTCTACAGAGCGAGATCCAGGACAAGCACCAAAACTACATAGAGAAACCCTGTCTCAAAAAAACAAAACAACAACAAAAAATTAATCAAGAGGATATAAACAAACAGATTTATAACAAGAAATCAGCCAGAAACAGTAGTTTAAAAACAAAAGTATCCCAACAAAGAAAAGCCTAGAACTAGACAGATTCACTGTAGAATTCTACCAAACCTTTAAAGAAAAGCTACAATCAGTATTCCTCAGCATATTCCATAAACTAGAAGGGGAGGACACCAGCAAACACCTTCTACAAAGCTAGCATTACTCTGATGGTGAAATAGACAAGCACATGGAGGAAGGAAGAAAATCAGCTTATGACGTTCAGTACATCCACTCATCCATCGACGGACTTTTGGGCTGCTTGTGTTTCCCAGTCCTGGTGAGTTGTCAGGCGTCTCCCCATGCTGCCTCGACCCCCCACTATTAAGTTCTCTTGCTTTTCCCTGCTATTTTCTCTACTTCAAAGAAGTCGCCATGGCCATGGCCAGCCTGCTTCTTTGTATCTCTGCTCTAGACTCTTCCAGACACTTCTGCTTGCTCTCTCATGTCTATAATAAAACCTCCCCCTAACCACAGAGCTAGTGTTTCAGGGGTTCTTTACTGCGACCCGGCTTACATGAATAAATGCGGTGACAAACAGGTGTGTAAGCCTCTCTGTGCTAGGCTGGAATTTGAGTTCTTTGGGACTATGTCCAAGAGCAGTACACAGCTGTGTCATCCGGTAGTTCTATTTTCAGGTTTGATTGTTCGCTTGCTTTAAGAAACCACCATAGTGATTTCTTCAGGAGCAAGTTTATTTTCTCAACAGCAACGAAAAAGGTTCCTTTTCCTCCATATTCTTGTCAGCATTTGTTGTTACTTGTTTCCTTGATAGACAGCCAATCTGATGGGGTGCATTGTCCCTCTGCTAATGACAGCCTTGGCTATTTGGAGTCTTTTGTGCTTCTTTATGATTTTTTGTTGTGTTTTGTTTTTTTGCATGGACAGTGGCAAACCTACAAACATCATTCTAAATAGGGGGAACTGAGAGCATTTCCTCTCAAATCTGGAATGAGACAAGGGTGCCTGTTCCTTCTACCATTATTCAATACAGCGCTTGAAGTCGCAGCTAGAACAATACTACAAGAGACATAAATAAAATTTGCACAACTAGGAGAGGAAGAAGTCAAATTATCTGTATTTGCAGACAATATAATCCTATAAAGACCCCAACGACTCCACCAGGAAACCCCTAGCGCTCATAAAAACGTTCAGCAGAGTGGCAGGATACGCAATAAACATACAGAAACCAGTAGCTTGCTTACATACCAATAACAATCTTGCCAAGGAAGAAACAGGAAGGGAGGGGGGTCCTATTCACAATGACTTCAAACAAACAAACAGCAAACTCTAACCAAAGAAGTGAAAGACCACTGCAGTGCAACCTTTCAAGACACCGAAGAAAGAAATTCATGAAAGCAGTAGAAGATGGAAAGATCTCCCAAGATGGATAGAATTAATACTAGGCAATTTTCAACATAATCCACATCAAAAAAAAAAAAAAAAAAACTCACTTCACATCATCTTCACAAAACTAGGGGGGAAAAAAACCCCTAAAATTCATGAAACTAAAACAGACATCCTGAAGGGAAGGAAGATATCTTAGACTGGGGAAGGGAGAGAGTGATGGAATGCATGTTCTAAGAAAGCAGAAGACAGGTCCATTGGGGGAGGGAAGGAACCCATCCAGAGAGGGACAGGTTAAACAGGGATTTGAAAGCAACAGAAGAGAGGAATAAATGAGAACAATAACAGGAATGCATGAAAATGCCGTAATGAACCTCGTTCCTCTGCACGCGAATGTAAATGACTAAGAAGATTAAAAGACGAGAAGTCACACCACCTTGTACGCTAAGAGATGTCTTGGGTGGGTTTCCTGTCTTCAGGATTCAAGCTACTCGAGTCATTAGGGTGTCTTTTTCTACTTCTCCCTAGCAGAACTGGGGGTGGGGACCCCTCGGTGGTCTTTTCTGGCTCACTGCACAACCTGTTTAGGCTTTAGAGCAAAGAAGCCCCGGAATTCACCTGCAGTCTGCACCACCCGTCCACCACCAGGAAAGACAAACATGCACTTAGAAAACAAAAAGTAACCGCCAAATGTTCTTTATCATCCGGACTCCCTTCACGCACCACCTCCCATCACCCTTCGGAGGAAGTCTCTGTTTGCTCACGTGGAAGCACCCAGTACAATCTACAAACCATCTCAATCAAGTCTCAAAAGCTAGATGTGAACAACTGTACAAAACCCTAAACGCATGGAGTCGGGAGAACTCCTCCACGGGCTTCCTGTCAGCAACATCCTTTGACAGCATTTTGTGTCTGACAGTCCTGTGTTTCATGAGGCCCTCACCTCCACCTTTGCCCCAAAGCTTTGCTCTGTAGAGCAATCAACAGGGGGCCACATTCTTATTTCTCAATCTCTCATGCCAGGACGACGGGAATTACAGAGCAGTCTAGAAAAAGAAACAGATGATTTCCCCAGTTTTCAAAGTAAAAAAAAAAAAGGGCATCTTTACATAGGTTACTATACATTTTGCACACTTTGCAGGAACTCTGTTCCTGCCCACTAAACCCAAATGCCGTCCAGTTTTCCAGTCTACTATGCCCTGGGGGTCTGCCACAAACCCAGGGTTCCTAGGTTACTCAAATTAACCTAAAGAAAGGAGGATAAAAAGGGGAGGAACCGGACCCCAGTTGATTTCTGCCTGAGTGGTTTTGTTTTGTTTTGTTTTGTTTTTTAACACCAACGTGGAGAGCCTGAGAGCCCGCCTTGGGGACCACTCACCATCCTGGAGCCAGGGACCCATGTAGCTGAGGATGTAGGTGGGGTCCAGCGTCTTCCTGACATAGTCTCTGAATGCTTGCAGATTCTGCCGCTGTTCAGCTGTCATTCTGTGGCTCCCCGCGAGCGATGAGCCCCCTGGCTCCCCAACAGCCGCCCAGGATGAGCGCGCTGGGGACTTTCTAAGAAGGAAACCCGAGGGAAAAGCGGCCAGGGCCGGCGCCTGGAAATCGAAACTGTGCCGCGGCGCGGGGGGCGGGGATCCAGTTTCGATTCTGATCCGGAGAGCCGCCGCTGTCAGTAGGGACCCAAAGGCACCTTGGAAACTGCCTTGAAGTTCGAGCCTCGCTTTTGGAGTGGTGCGGTTTATAAAGTGCACACAGTTGAAGTGTACAGTTTAATGAATTTCGAAAAATGGAGACACCAGTTACCTCTTCCGCCAGATCAGCCGGGTCCTGCAGTAACCTCTGTTTTAACTTTTTTAGGAAACTATCTCCTCTTTTCCAAAGTGGCCATACCAGTTTGCATCCCCACTCATAGAATTAAAGAACTAAAGTTGACCAACATTCGCTGGGTACGAATTGTCTTGTCTTTTTTCTTTCTTCTTTCTTTTTCTTTCTAACTTTGGAGCAAACTCGTAATTATTGTAGTTTTATTTTCCCATATAATTAATGATTCTGAACACATCTGCATGTGTTTAGCTACCATACATCCTTTTTTTTTTTTTTTAATGTGAAACTGCTATCTTTTACTTGTGTGTGTACTGGACACAATATATTCCAAATATCATCTTCCTGTTTGCTGCTGACCAGTTCAATTTTCTTAAAGGTGTTTTTTGACAAGCATTAAATTTATATTAATAAAATATAACCTATCAGAGTCCCCCAATCCATTTATCAATTTTTGTTTCCTCTAATAAATATTTACCTCTCCCCAGGTATCTTACTTAGGGTTTCCATTGCTATGATGAAACACCATGATCAAAAAGCAGGGCTGGAGAGGTGGCTCAGATGTTAAGAGCACTGGCTGTTCTTCCAGAGGTCCTGAGTTCAATCCCCAGCAACCACATGGTAGCTCACAACCATCTATAATGAGATCTGGTGCCCTCTTCTGGCATGTAGACAGAACACTCTATGTGTAATAAATAAATAAATCTTTAAAAAAAAAAAAAAAGCAAGTTGGGACTTCCAAATCACTATTCATCATCCACCAAATCACTGTTCATCGTCCAAAGAAGTCAGGATGGGAACTCACACAGGGCAGAAACCTGGAGGCAGGAGCTGATGCAGAGGCCATGGAGGGCTGCTGCTTACTGGCGTGCTTAGACCTATGTCGTTTGTTTTGTTTTGCCTTTCTGTTTTCCAAGACAGGGTCTCTTCTGTTTAGCCCTGACTGTCCTGGAACTAGCTCCGTAAATGAGGCTGGTCTGGAACTCACCGAGATCTGACTACTGCCTTCTGAATGCTGGGACTAAAGGCTTTCGGCCACAAAACCGGGCTTTTTTTTTTTTTTTTTTAAATAGAACCTGCTTTCTTTCTTTCTTTTCTTCCTTCCTTCCTTCCTTCCTTCCTTTCTTTCTTTCTTTCTTTCTTTTTTTAATAGAACCCAGGGCCACCAGCTCAGGGAGGGCACCACCCACAATGGACTAGGCCTTCACACATCAATCACTAATCAAGAAAATGACCTACAAGCTTGCTTACAGCCCAATCTTATGCAAGCATTTTCTTTCTTTTTTGTTTTGTTTTGTTTTTCAAGACAGGGTTTCTCTGTGTAGCTTTGGAGCTTGTCCTGGAATTCACTTTGTAGACCAGGCTGGCCTCGAACTCTCAGAGATTGCTCTGCCTCCTGAATGCTGGGACTAAAGGCGTGTGCCATGGCTGCCTGGCGTTTTTCTTTATTTTTTATTTTTTTGGTTTTTCAATACAGGGTTTCTCTGTGCTGCTCTGGCTGTCCTGGAACTCACTCTGTAGACCAGGCTGACCTCGAACTCACAGAGATCTGCCTGTCTCTGCCTCCTGAGTGCTGGGATTAAAGGCATGCACCAACCACAGCACTGCTGAGGCATTTTTTTAATTGAGGTTCCCTCCTCTCAAATGACTTTTGCTTGTGTCAAGTTGACATAAAACTATCCAGCAAAGCACCTCTGGAAGTTACTCCATATTTCCTTTAGAGTCACTAGACTTTTAGCTTTTCTCTTAGTTCTACGCTTGTATCGAATTAACTCTGTGCTGCAACACAGAACACTAAACTGTTTCCAGACTTCTAACTGTACTCTCGCCATATGCTGAAAACCTATCCTTTCTCCACTGAATAACCTTGGGACATTTGTCAGGACCAAAAAAAAAAGTGTCAGGCTGTTAAAACCACAGCTGGCAGACGACTATAGATTTCAGGGCAGCCAGGGCTGGATGGTGGAGACCCTATCTAAAAACTAAAGAAATAAGAAAAACTTGAGTTCATGTGTGTAGATCCACTTCTGACTCTTTCATCGGGTCCTATTTCCTGACGTTTATAACTGTATACACCACTTTCTCTGGATAACTGCAGATTTCAGATGAATCTTGAAATCAGGTATTATTGAGTCGTCCAAACTTGTTGCTCATTATAAAGAGTGCATTGGCTATTCCAGGTTTTTTACATTTCCATAGGCAATGCAAATCAACAGACCAATTGAAAAAACAAAAACAAATAACTGCCTATTGGATTTATATAGCAGGACTGCATTGAGCCTGCAGATGAAATCAGAGAACTGAGTCTTCTACTCCACGAACATGGTATTTATTTAATTTATTTAGGTCTCTAATTTTTTTGTTTTGTTTTGTTTTGTTTTTGTTTCTCAAGACAGGGTTTCTCTGTGTAACTTTGGCTATTCTGGAACTCGATCTGTAGCCCAGGCTGGCCTCTAACTCAGAGATGTGCCTGCCTCTGCCTCCCGAGTGCTGGGATTAAAGATGTGCACCACCACCGCCCGGCAGGAGGTCTCTGATTTCTCTCAGCAACACCTTACAGTTTCAAGGGTACATATCTTGTACATGTTATATTAAATTTATTCTATGTTCTTACTTACTAATGTAAATAGAATTATTCTTGAATTTTCATTTTTAAATTGATGCTACCATACAGAATACAAGTGATATTGTTTGTTGACCTCATATCACAGAACAGTGCTAAATCCACTTATTAGCTCTAGTAACTTCTGTAGGTCCCCTAAGCTTTTCTGGTAAGTATTCATGTCATTTGTGAATAGTTTTTCTTCTTTCTTCCATGGCTTGATGACCTTTTTTTTTTTTCTTCTTCTTCTTCTTTTTTGAGACAGGGTTTCTCTGTGTAGCCCTGGCTATCCTGGAACTCACTCTGTAGACCAGGCTAACCTCCAACTCAGAAATCCACCTGCCTCTGCCTCTCGAGTGCTGGGATTAAAGGTGTGTGCTACCACCGCCTGGTGACTTTATGACTTTTATTAATTTCCATTCCTTACAGTTTTTGTTGTTGTTGTTGTTGCTGTTGTTGTTGCTGTTTTCCCTTTTCTTCCCTTATGCCAGCCTGAGGCTCTAACAGAAGACTGAATGGAAAAGTGATGAGAATTGACAAACTTTATCACTAGTCTTGGTTGGAAATGATCAGAGATGTGGGTGCAGTTTGCTTTCTCTTGCTGTGATAGAACACTGACCAAATGTGCTTGTTTGGCTTTCTATTTTCAAGTCCACCATCAGGGGAAAGTCAAGGCAGCAACTGGAGGCTTTAGAAACCTGGAGGCTGGAATGGAAGCAGAAACCATGGAGGAATGCAATTTTCTGGCTTGCTTGCTCCTGCTTGCTGAGAATACCTTTCATGCGGCCCAGGGTAACCTGCCTAGGGATAATGGTGCTTTACGTATGATAGGCACGTCTACGTCAATCAGCAATCAAAAAAATGCAGTACAGACAGGCATAGAGACCAGACTGATGGAGGCCATTCTCAGCTGAGGTTACCTCGTCTTAAAGTCCACGTTTCTGTCAAGTTGACACAAACTATGACAGATGCTTCCTGTCAGATTAATGACATTTTCTTTTATTTCTGGTTTTTAAGAGTTTTTTTTTTCCTTCTTTAGCATGAATGGGTGTTGAATTTTTTTCAACTGTCTTTCCCCCCATCTATTGAGCGGATCACATATTTTCTTAACATTCCAAATTTTATGGACTTTATTTTGTTTTGTTTGAGACAGGGTCCTCTGTAGCCTAGGACGACCTTGGAACTGTTCCTCCTGCTTCTGCCCCTAGGATGCTGGGGTTACAGGTTTGTGCCCACATGCTTGTCTCATTGACTGACTTGTGAAAGTTAAACAGGCCTGGGATCCCTGGGATAATTCTCTTTTGGGGATGAGGTATCATCTTTTCTATATACTTCTGCATTCAATTTGCTATATTTTCATACAACTGGCTTTTTTTTATTTGTCTATGTTCATATAGGCTATTGGTCTGCAATTTTCTTGTAAAGTTTTTTGTGCTAGGATCCTAAGAGTCTGTGTACTAGTAACATTTCTCCCCTTAAATATTAACAGAATTCACCAAAAAGACCATTTGGGCTGGGAGTCATATTTGTCATATTTGTTTGGATTCAATTTCTTTATTACATATTCAGATTTTTTTTTTTTTAAACTTCATCTTGAATCAGTTTTGGTAAATTGTGATTTTTTTTTTTTCAAATGCTAAAATAATTCAACGAGAATCTACTAGACTGGAGCAACTCGAAGGCCCAGAAAAGGGACCTTAGAAACAGAAAAGGAGACTAGCTCAGGCAATCACAGGTAGCCAACTGGGTGTTCTTGAACTGCTCACAGGAAAGCCCAGGTAAGACAATTGCCCAGACTTCAACCAATCAAATAACTTTGCTTCCCTTGTGGATTCAACTACAAACGAAACAAAAGCACTCTTCCAGCAACGCCCTCCAGCCAAACTCTGAGCTGCTTCAAGACTGCAGGTGCTCAAATAAGCAACTTAAAAATGTGGCACGCCCTAGGTATCTCCCAACACAACACATCTGACCACTTCTTCTAAATGCTAAAGTACTGGCCTAAGCTGTTCATGTCAATCTTTAATTCTTTTAAAAACCCTTAAAAAAAATTAATCCCTGCTAGGCATTTGCCAATTCACCCTGGAGGCCTTCTGCCCCCACTCCAGTGCTAGCCATGGACACTGAGGCCTTCTGCTCCCATCCAGTGCACACTGAGACCTTCTGCTCCCATCCAGTGCACCCTGGAGGCCTTCTGCTCCCACTCCAATGCACCCTGAGGTCTTCTGCTCCCACTCCAGTGCACCCTGAGGCCTTCTGCTCCCACTCCAGTGCACCCTGAGGCCTTCTGCTCCCACTCCAGTG